TTAGTGAGTTGATTTTGTTATATATTGTATCTGGTCAGGTTGTCTCTGAACTGGTAGCAAGCTGACAAATATTTTGAAACATGTTTACTCTGTAAAATGTGCTGTGTGTGGATTCTGGGGTGGTAAGTCTGTTTAATTCCCCATCAACTTGACTAGAATTTTGGAAATACTGAATCTCCTGATCCTACCCCTGCATATGTACAGTTCCTGGACAAGAGTTAAAGGAACATTATTCTTATTTGTCAAAAGATTTTGAAATGCAACAGTTAAAAATTATCATTGGAAAGCTAGAAAGCTACTCAATGTGAGAATCCAAGCTTAAAATTAAAAAAAAAAGTTTCTTATGCTTAAAAAAAGAGATAAAAATTTAAAAAAAATACAATCTTCAATCTCAACATGAAAAATAAGAAAAAAGAAACCAGGGTGGAAAGAAAGATCCACATAGAATAATCAAAATAAAAAAGGGGAAAAAATAACAGCCAATATTATGGACGTGGCATCAGATTTTTTTGGCAAGAAGCAGTTGTAGAGGTGAGCATGGTAATCTGTGCAATATACTAGCTCATGGTTGAGCTTTTGCAATTCGGCCTCTTTGAGCTTGCAAGGGCACCAAAGCAACTAGCTATTGCAAATTTCCTGATATTCTTATAATTACAATTGACCCCTGAAACAGTGTATGGTTGTTGGGGAAGGCTGAGCTTTCTAGAAACTCTGCTAGCTGTTGCTCCTGCCTTCATCATGCCAAAAATAATTGATTTTTGCTCAGTGATGAGAATTTTGCACTTCTTCTTTGAGGGAGACATTGAGGTTGGTTTTCAGCATCCCCAAGCACCAAATTCAATTAATATTGAGCATTCAGCAATAAAAAACAAACTCCCATGGCTAACTCTTGTCCGGTCCCTGTACATTCATGTTCCTTTTTATTTCCATGCCAGACTTTCTGAATCTAACATCTAATTTTATGTGATTTTGATTGATGGATTCTCTGTCTTAAATCCTCCAATGTATTTTTATTCTTATCTCAATTTTGGAAACTTACCCCTGTGTTAATGGTAGTTTTGATTTGATTCTTTGTGCTTCCACAAAAGCTTACAAGGCAAAATAAAGAGGATTTGTGGAAAGATAAATGGCTGAACCATCCCAGATAACTCCACCAAATTGGATCCCCCAACAGTGGTTCCAGCCCTAGGGGAGATCTGTGCCACTAGCCCACCAGGAAATGACATGATCAATAAATTAAAGGGTCCCTTGTTTGTTTCTTTCTGATTTCATTGAGCAGCCAGGGTGAGACTTGAGATTTCCCGTGCTTGTTCTACTCAAACAAGAAAACAAGAAAATAAATAATGAAATCATGAAGACTAATGCAAAAGGAGGCATTGTTCAAAATAAAATGCAATTCAAATTATTTTGGCTTGTACAAATACCAAAATATCTTGATATGATTGATTCTGTCAGATCCTTCAGTTGAAAAATATTGACATACCTTTTTCATATTGCCAAAGCTGTTTCAAGAATTGAAAGAAAAACTCCTTCATGTTGGTGCAGGGGTTTATGAAATAAATGTATAGTGGCCAAACGTGGTTGGACGTCACGCCCCTGTCTCAATAGCTCAGTTGGGAGAGCGTCAGACTGAAGTGTTCTCCACATTCAACAAAGTACTCAAACATCTGAAGGTCCAGTGTTCAAGCCACTGTTGGGACATTACTTTTGTGGGTTTTTGTTGCTTTGCCGAAGTCAACACGATGGGTGTTCATTCTGCCTCTCTTTTATTTACCTGGTGGTCCACCAGAGCCAAACGCGGAGGGCTAAAATCAACATGAAGAACCCGTATGACTTATGAATCATCGGTTCTTGGTCGTTTGGGCTCCTTCCTGGCTGCAAAGCGACTGCCGAAAGAGCGCGGATTCACGTCACGAAGTATTACAGCTGTTTTTTTTAACGGCTGCTCAATTCTTTTCCGACAAAAAAAAACGAATTCTCAAAGAAATCAGGAGCAACAACGAATAAAAAAATGGCCGATCATCGGATGAAACAAGCCGAATCAAAACATGAAATGGGTCTATGGTATTGCTTCTAGGTCAGACGGGAGGAGCCCCACAGTCGGACAAGAACGACAAGGGAATCAATTTCCCTTTTGTTGGCGAATAAGGTTGAGAGCACTACCAGCCTTAATGAATTGAGCGGTTTGATGACTGAGGCCATGGAGAGTCTGGATACGGATCTGAGATCCGTCCGGCTTGTGGACGAGAAGGTCGATCTGAGTGTCAATATTGCCATTCAGGACGGCATTTAAGCCCTCAGTGGAAACCCGATCGCCCGCAGAGACCTTAGCGTAGTCTTGCTCCGGATGCTTGAACGTCAGGCCTAGCACGCCTTGCTTGATTAAGTTCACTAAATGGATCCGCGCAAATGACTTTGCCACTATCAGCTTCGCCCCCAGGAATCGCGGCTGCATACTCGCGTGCTCTCGTGCCGATCCTTCGCCGTAGTTCGACTTCCATCCCAGAATCGTCCCATCAAGTATCATGTCCCAATTTTTTTTTTTTTTGGTTTGCGATGTTTTCATAATCGTCAATTTTGGATTTGGAATCACAGAAAGGAATTAGAAGAGGGTGAGAATATTGACTCACATCTGCAACAATCATCCATGGTTGCCCAATAGACTTCCATCGTTTCGCGACATTAGGAATCGAATCTTCAATGGTTTGCCCATCGACCGAATCGAAGGCGGAATTGATTTTACCGTTTTCATCATTCTTAGCACCAATCAATGTATTCTCGCTACAAAAGACGGAACGGGGAAACATGTCAAGACGATAGGTTGGGTGACAGACCGACTTATGAAACAGTGCGGATAGTGAGGGATTATCTTACCTGATGTTGGAGAGATGGCCTTTGAATTTGAGCCATTTCCCGGCGGCCGATATTTCGTCTGTGGTGCATTTGCCTTGAATCCTGATCAAACATTTCAGGGCGTTGAACTCGAGGGGCTGCTGAAGATCTGTCCAATGAGGTTCGAAGGGTTTGAGAATCTCAAGCCTAGATGACTCCGGATGGATACTAATTTGAGTCTCCGGTCTAGGACTAGGAACAGGCTCGGGTATGTACGAAAGGTTTCCTTGATCGAAACCGCGGGCTGGCAGACGATCCCCACTTGGTGGTTGAAATTTGAATGGTTGCCCATTCGAATCCGTTAGCGTATCAGTGATTGGGTTGAACGATAGCTTTCCGGAAAAAGCCTAGTTAGAAGAAGGAAGAAATCAGCGACAACAAATTTGAGATCTGGTCTCTCAATTTGGGTCCAGGATGAGAAAGGATGGTAGGGCTAACCGACCATAGCAGTAACGAGTTCAGGCGAAGCCAAGAAGTTCATTGTCTTCCTATTTCCGTCGTTCCTAGCCCTAAAGTTACGATTGAACGATGTCAAGATAGCTTTGAAATGCATCAGTTTATTTCAAAAAATAAGAACGTCAGTGTTATGTTCGTTGAAGGAGATGGATCAAGAAAATCAGATGCACCATTCTCTTGGTCCTTCTCCTCCTTGCGCTCCCATTGACCGATACAAGGCCCACAAGCATTGGCTAGAACGATCCCACCAACGGACTCTAGGGTCTGCTTGAACCCATCCCGGGCAATGGTTGAGTTAATCTGCTCAGATCCGGGGGTGATCATGAATTTGGTCTTGGTCTTGATTCCCTTATCGAGGGCTTGCTTAGCAATGCTCGAGACCCGAGACATGTCTTCATAACTGCCTAAAAACAAAGTTGGTCCTTGATTCGGCTGCAAAGTTCTGAATAATCCAAAGGCTCACTGTTGGTGCAACTTCCAATTAAGCAAGCACTTGCTCGATCGTCCCAATTGTTTTTCTCGATGAATGACTTGAATTTGCTCAAGGGGGTGGCCAGGTCAGGGGTGTGAGGACCATTGATGTAAGGTTCTAGTTCGGCGAGATTGATGGATAGATGTTGGTCGTATTCACAATTGGGATCTGCTGATAGAAAGCCTTGTGCATGGGCTTCGTCGGCAGCTTCTGCAACGGGAGAGCGATTGGTAGCTTGAAGATAAGATTTCATTTGGCTCGTGTAAGGGAACAAGGATGTGGTTGCGCCCATCTCAGCGCCCATATTACATATTGTGGCTCTGGGAGACACAAAAATAATCAGCTTTGATTTCGATCCGCACGAGATAGATGGAACTAGCCAGGATAGAAAGCCCTCACAAGCCTGTTGCTGATTGGTGACGAACCCCATCGCCATAATATTCAACGACAAAGCCGGTGCCTCCGCGCACGGTGAGTTTACCGAGAATGTGCAATATTAAATCCTTTGGACTTGTCCAAGCATTCATCTTGCCTTTCAGTTCGACTCCGATAACTTTTGGAAACCTGGTCTCCCACGGGGTATCAGTCATTGCATCGACAGCATCAGCCCCACCGACACCGATCGCAACGGCGCCCAATCCACCGGCATTTGGGGTATGCGAGTCGGTTCCAAGCATAAATAGGCCAGGGGCGGCATAATCTATCCTGACACAGAATCATGAAATCAATTTCAATACCATCCAATAATAAGAATAAAAGCATGCTGACTTTCCAATACGATTTGATGGATGATTCCACTGCCTGGCTTCCAAAACTCGATGCCGTACTTCTCACTAGCGCTTCTCAAGAAATCGAAGACCTCCTTGGAGCTATCGATCCCGCGTTGGAGGTCATTCGAAGCGCCTTCTGAAGCGGCGATGAGATGGTCACAATGGATTGATGTGGGTACTGCGGTCGAGCGCATTTCGCAAGTTGCAAACTGTAAGAGAGCCATCTGAGCAGAGGCGTCTTTCGACCCAAAATCCCCATTCATGGGTTAACATGAACCTACATGAGTTGTCCGGGTCTGCTTCTTTTATTTTTTTTTCACATACCTTGCATGGCAACTCGGTCTGGCTTGAGTTTGACGAAGGAGCTCCCCCGAACTAGGTGGCCGGTAGTTCCATCTCGCAGCTGGCTATCGTCTAAATGACTAATGAAAATCTTCTCGGCCAAAGTTAACCTGTCTCGCTGGCCAGAGGGTATCAGTTGTTGTCTGCCATCACGGAGTCTCTTGATGAGCCGATGGTAGGGCGGGGTGATGGATGGGTAGTGTTTGGATGAGATGCTGGCATAGGATCTGATGTTTCCGAATCGATTGAGGATGGCCATCGTCGGGAATCGTGAGTGTCGTGGGTGTGTGGTTCTTGAGAGGACTGGGGGAAATTAAAATTGCAAAATAAAATTACATATTCGAAATGCATAGTAGAACCACTTCTTGATGGGATCTTAGCAGCCAATACTTCTGGAAAAAGATGGGAGTACATGCCACTCCTTTCAAGACTGACAGAGCATCATTCAGAAAATTGATAGGAGAGAAGGGAAAAATTGATGGGAAGAAGAGACCCAGCATGACTCACATCTGGAGGAAAATCTCCTGGGTTAAGATGAAGGGCACTTGATAGGGGAAGGGAGACAGCTGAGGAGCAAAGACTAGTCTGGTTCACATTCCTTTAACCCCATTTTTAACTCACTTATCATGAAATTTTGACATGTTTGCTCAAGAGCTCAGATGCCAGATGACTGAAACTGATGACTAAAACATTTAAAAAAAATTCATGTTTGAACGTATTAAAAGTGGTGTTAAAGCTCCCAATGTAAACCAGGCTACTGGAGGACTTACCAGATTCCTTAATCTGCAGCTCCTATTTCTAAATTCCAAACTTTGTTTGGTGATGAAAATTGGTGACAGTCAGGTTCCCAACACCAAAAAAAAGTTTGGAATTTAGATTTAGCCCATCTAGATCAAGCAAGCCAGACTGACGGGAAGTCCTCCACTGTCTGTACTAGGAGACTGCCATTGCTAAGGGGAAAAGCAGGAAATCTGATGGGGGCTACTCATGGATGCTCAGAGATGTGACACAATTATCTATGTCTGTGGTGGCTACCTTGTGGGTCAGAAGACAAAGCCAATGCATCCAAGAGACCACAAGCACAAAACATTAAGCCTGGGAAAGAGATGTGTAACTGAATTCCTAGCTGATTGAAGATGAATTATTTCTCAGAAAAAGTGAATCCTGACATATGGTATTAAGATTTTGGACATAAAAATTGACATAACATCAAAGTTTGATTTTTTGGAGGATTGTAAATCAACTTGTATGTATTGTGACAGGTCCCTGCAAGAAAATTTTATGTGAAAGGTCTTTATGATCTTATGTCTGAATTTTAAATACCATAACTACAGTCTTGACTTAAACAGCAGTTTCAAATACGGATCAATTTCTCAGATTTACTGATCACTGACAAAAGACAAGATTTACTGAAAATTGAATCATCCTGTGATGTCAGAACTTGACAAATAAAAAGAAAAACATGTCAAGCAGCCCAGAAGTAATCATGACAACGGAAATGATTTGTATGACTAATAATGTGAGCCTATGGCTCTAGAGTGGCAACAGGACACAAAAAAGTTTGTTAAATAAGGTTTTATTTATTGAAAAGAATGACAACAATAACCAAAGAGGCTAAATAAAAGGAGAAGGATATTTCTTGTAACTCTGACTGTTCTACTCCAAGCTAAGGGAAGTCTGGAGAGTCTCAGACCGCACAATCTTTGGCTATGCTTGTTAGTGTCATATGACAGATCTTATATTGCAAAAGTTTAGCAATTTCATTGGAT